TTTTAACCCTAGACCATCTCTTTCTGCAGCAAAGTGTTTCTTCTTTTTAAAACCTGCTGTGCTGCCCTGGGAAGTTCAATCAGAAGGGCTCTTTCAGTAACGCCCCAGGCATCAAAGCAAGCGAAGTCCCTCTTGCATTTGTGTTTATGTGGCTATGGGGCCTTTTTCCAGTGAAGGTTTTTCAAGGCATAGTGGTTTTACTGGAGGCATAGGAATTCAACGGTGGGGGAACAGAGTCAGAAATCCCGTTTAACAGCCTGTCTCATTTCTGCCACAGCGAAGAGTTTTCTTCCTTGTTCTGCCTGCATCGCCCAGTGTCTGCCCTTGATGGTGACACCCCGGCTGTTGCTTTCCTTGTTCTGTTTTCCTACCTACGCTCAAGATTGCAGAGGACTGTCAAGAAACGAATAGGGGATGTGGCAGCCCCATGCCGCGTCTACCCAGAGAGCAGCACCGACACCGTCTCTTCTGTTTGCGCTCGGGGGCTTTGGCAGCTCCTCGCTGGTGGGTGTCTGTCACCATTCTCGTCATGGAAAACTCTTTAAGTATTCCAGATCTGGCCCTCAAAAGACAGGGATAGTATTAGGCTGTCTACAGTTCAGGCCCTTGCGGTCAGTAGGTTTTGATTGCCAGTCTTGCGGTCATTAGGCACGCTAGGAAAAGGACAGCAGGGAAACCAGCAACACAGCAGGAGCTGGAAACCAAACGATGCCTGAGGAATTCAGTGGTGAATACCAAGCTGGTGATCATGGTGCTGGTATGCGCTGGACTGGAAATGATTTGGGGCTCCTGGCTACAGTTTTTTTTTCTTGATTTCACCTCGTTCCAAGTCCTGCCGGCTGATACGGAGGACAGCAGGTATGAACTCGGCCCTAAGCTTCCTAAACGACCTTCCCCCTGTAGGAATGATGTATGGAGAGGCCGCTAAAAAGCTGATGGGTGCCTGCTGGAATGGAAGATAGCCATTCTGGATGAGGGGAAGAGCTTCAACTACAAATATCGGTACAGTTGATAACTGTGACAATGACACGTGGGAAGGAGAAGATGGATCGCTAGCTATTAGCAGGCATTATTACAAGCGCTGCAATGTATCATGTAGGAACGGAGATGATGTATCACACCAGTGCATTTATTTAAAAGAAATATTTTCTTGAATAAATCAGTTTTTAAAAATAGATGGAACTGCAGTGCTGAAAAAGCGCCCCCCCCCATTTTTTTTTTTTTTTTTTTTTTTGTGCAAATAGATAAGCACACTGAGGCTTGCCTGGGTATATTCTGGAGCTGCTGGTGGTAGTGCTATAGTTTAGGTCGAGTTTTACAGTTGAATATATTTATATGTAATTAATAGTCAGAGTAAAAAACACAGCTCATAAAATACCAGGCAACTGTTTGATCTTCCTGCATCTCATGTACTTCTGAAGGTCATGATCCCAGGAGGTTGACTTCAATGAGGGCTCTAGGCAATCTGCTGCTTGCAAGATTGAGCCCTATCATTACTATTACTTATTTATTAGTATTTATTCTAAGCAAAACTTTCAGAGGCATCTATAGGACTTAGGAGTCCAAAAGAGAAGCTTTCAAAGGAGCAGATGGCAGTCAGGTACTTAACTCTCACAGGTGCTCAATAGGCGTGAGGTCCTTCCATGCCATTTGCACCTTTTGACCTGCAAAACAGCTTCAAAGCATCATGTGCCAGCATGAGCTTACTCCTAGCTTGGTTCAGGCAGCATCTAGACTAGAGGACCCACTCGGCCACAGGGGCTGAGACTGTGCTCAGCTCATTGCAGTCACTGACAGCAGTGAATAAAATCCTGGCCTCATGGGAGTTTGGCCATGGACTTCAGCGGGGCCAAGGACCTCCTCCACTGGATACATCATGTAGTGGAAGGGGTTGGATGAGGGACATGTCATTCATCAGCACAGCATGAGCACAGATAACTAGCTTTGAGTCCCTTTTAAAGGTATAAGTAGGGTTCAAGTTGAGTTGAAAGTAGAGATTCCCAAGCTGAGAGTCATTTCTTTTCCTTATTCTCTCCTCCGGACCTTGAAGACACTGAGCTACAGTATTTGTCTCATCTTTACATGCACTCTCTTTTATTTTTGGCAGAAGGAGATCTTTTTTGTGCAGCAAGGATGTTTGTTTGCCCCTTTCGAAGCTTCTCAAAGTAGGCTTCCCTTCAACTGCGGCTCCGCAGAATATCCGATTAATCTCTCTGCCTCGTAGCTCCTCTGGCATGGAGGTGTTAATGCATCTTGTTGGGTCAGTCAGCAGTTTGCCTTGCTGTTTGATTCAGGAGCAATAGTTTGTATTTTCCTAGGACGAGTTAAAGAGGATATATTCGTTTAGCACAGCGAGAGTACAAGGCACAACAGGCTTGAGGTGCAAGGGAAGGGGATTCAGCCATTGTCCAACCCAAATTTGTCTCTGGAAAACACTAAAGGTGTCTCTTGTAAACACAGTGATTTGTACTAAGCTGAGAGCATGTGAGTCTTTTCCCAGGGAGGGGTTTGGCCCCCCAAAACATTGGGGGAGTTGCTCCATGAAGTTGCACTGGAATAACACCAGACTGGACTGGCTTGAGATACAGGCTCTCTAGCCCAGAGGCCATCGGTTAATCATGGGCTTGACAGTGCATGGCACTGATGTACCAATCCTTGAGTGGGACCATTAGGTACTACTGCAGGGTAAAGAAAGGGACACCACAGTGACCGAATCAGACTGTAATGGGCACACGTGTAAGTTGAGATGAAGTGTGACAGGTGTCTTTCAGCCTGGCAAACCCTCAGCCATCAAAAATGATGAGACAGGTCCCCCAAAACATGACTTTAAAGGGAAAAAATTGAAGAAATGTTGGTTTCTTTCATTTGCCTGCTGACTTTCTCTGTGTCTAGGCTGTGTTTTCAAACTTGTTTTTCATAACCATGAGGGCTAAAAACTCACTAGACAGCCAAGCTTCTTGGGCATTCATAGGACTCCCAAGAGCTGATGCACTAGGAATAACAAGTGTGGTCAGTACTGCTGCTGGGACTTACCTGTCCTCCCTGTACCATAGGGGTGGGCAAAATACAATCCGGGGCCAGATCCAGCCCATCAGGCCATTCTATCCAGCCCACAGTGCCCCTAAAAATTTTAGAAAATTAATATTTACATGCTCCTGGCTGCCTGTGAAAATGGCAGGAGCCAAGGACAGTAGGACCCAGGGGAAGCCAGCAGCAGGACTGAGCAGCAAGGCCCACCTAGCCCAGGCCCCCCAACCAAAAGCTTCTGGCCTGGGACCGTGGGGCTGTTCCTGCTTCCCTGCACCAAAGGGAAACGTGGCCCTTGACAGCTTGCCAGAACTCGCTAAGCGGTCCTCCGCAAGAAATAATCGCCCGACCCTGCTGTATCTTTGGTCCTGATGTCCCCATTCCTAGGCTTGCGTGAAGCCCACTGATGTCAGCAAGGCTCCATGCATGTGCTGGGCTGGATCCATGTGGCTCTGATTGCAAGGTACCTGTGGGACCTTTGTTTGCACAGCATCTGTCATAGTGGGGTGCAGTCAGATCTTAACACAAACATGAGTCCTAACAAGGAAAAGAATTGCAGCATGCCATTGACTCTCTTTGTCCATTCCTCTGCCATCCATCTCAAGTCTTCCCCTGTCCCTTTGGGTAGTGTATACATCTCTGACATTTCAGTGACTGGTAGAAGTGAAGGGTTGTCAGCAGAGCTTTGAAAACAGGATGTGCAATGCTATCACCCACTGAGTTTAAAGACGGCCTTGGCGTAGAGCTGATGTGCAGTAAGAGACAAAGCCTTGTGTTTCAGTAGCAAGCTTGCCATGGGCTTATCTGAGTTAAAAGGGAAGGGGGGTGGGGGTGCCTGTCCCAATGCTCTCTTAGAAGCAATCATCAAAGTTGGCCTGACAGTGCAGGTCTCAGCTACCTACCTGTTTTTAAACCTGGAAGGTTTTGCAGGCCCAATTAGGACCTCAGCCTGAGTAAACGGTAGTGTGGGTGACAGAGTCAAGGTATGATGCGAGATGCATACAAGAGGGTGCAAGTAGGCATGCGTTCAGGAGTAGAAAAGCAGAACTGTTTGGATCCTGCATTGAATTATTTTCTTGTGCATCTCTGATGTGGGGCGTAATATCAAAGACTTCATATTGTGCTACTTGTTTGGGCCTCTGCTAGTGCACTCAGGTCCTCATCCTAATTCCAGTTTTTGAGTGCTGTTCTAATAGCACTAAAGCACCTTAACAGCTATGGCTGAAGGCTACTCTATGGGCAGAGTGTATCTTTGGTGGCAGCAGGTACAACTTTGTAAGCTGCATACGCTTACATCAGGCCTGAAATTCATGTACCACATGCTCATCTGGTGTCAACTGGCTTAGATGCATTGAAGTTAAGAAATCTGCTGAGTTTAATACTAGCTTCAATCCAAGCTGAACAGAAATGTCTGACTTAGCTGGAAACCCTGGTGTTGATTGACTAAAATAGTAACCAGCTATCAAAGTGCCTGTCGATGTTTATTTAAATATATTGATTTACTGGATTTTAGTAGTGCTGCAGCTAATCCAGTGGCATATAGTGCAAGGCAATTCCCCCCCACAATTACATTTGCAATCTGACAGATAGACAAAGGGTGGGTAGGAAAATTAAAAATACAGAACAATTGATGGTCACAGGCCGATCCAGGAAAGGAACCCAGGGACTTTTGTGCCCTTGCCCAAATCTCCTAGGGCAGTAGTTGGTTCCAGTGCCTGAACTTACCAATCAATGTGTTTTGCACAGTGCACGAATAGTGCTAGGGTATGTAGGTGAAATGCTGCTGTGGTAGCTGATCCAGAAAATTAGTGCCTCCTTATTGCAAAACGGGAAAGAGAAATTAGGACATTTAAAAAAGTTTTGGGATGCTTTTTCTCCCCTTTCTTTAATGGGCATCACCGCTTATTTGCCTAACCTTGCTAGACTCAACCTCTCGTCTGTCCCGTGTCTAAATTGTCTTGTTTTCATTCCAGTGAACATGACCTGGGGGAGGATATTTATGACTGCGTCCCCTGTGAAGATGAAGGAGATGATATCTATGAAGATATCATCAAAGTGGAAGTTCAGCAACCCATGGTAACAATTTATGCATCTTTAAAGCCATATCTTGATGGGAATGCAAAAGGAAAAAGAAACCAACCAATGAAAGATAATGATCTGGAGGCACAAATGATCTATTGGCATCGTTCTTTGGAAGGGGACTGCCTTTGTAGAGTTAAAATACCTTCGGGAGAGTGATGGAGCTAGCCCGGTAGGGTTTCTTGAAGGCTTTCCCTGTCTCTGAAGAATGGGGGGAAGATGTAATAAATACAAATTGTGAAAAGAGCATAAAAATAGTAACTCACTGCTGAGCCAACACAGCATGTGTCACTTCATCCCTTTCTAAGGGGTGGGTGGGGGGAAGAGAGAGAGGACTGATGTTTGCTCAATTAGCCAAATGTGTGTCTTAGGCTGGAGGTATTTTTAGACCCGTGCAAGTGTTGACAGATATTTGCAATGAAGCCCCAACTTTCCCCGGGGGATTGTGACAGTACCTGCTTGGAGAGGCAGGTAGATTTTTACAAAAGAGATTTTCAAAGCCGAGTTGCCTGCTGGGCATGGAGGGGCTGCCGTTGAACTCCCTCCATCAGCTGGAGCAGGAACTCAGGCATGCAAATCCATCAGTCACCCATGACAGCCCCAGCTTAAACATAGACAGGGGTGAAACACGTTCACACACCTCCGGGCTGCGCTCCGCTCGTCTCCGCTCTGCGGCGACGCGCCTCACGCCGGGTGTTCTCACGCTCTGCCCGTCCGCTCCTAGTGCCAGACACCCAACTTGGCAACAAGTCAGCGAAGCTGTATGGACAGCACCCCAGTGCTCAAGCATGCCAGAGATGGAGGCCTCGAGATGTCCCTCTGAGGAGTCGCTTCATTACCTCATTCCCGGGTTTGGCATAGGCGAGCAGGAACTGCTGGGCTGGGCGCGCTGGAGAGAAACCATCCCAGACAGCACCGGGGACACCGTGCAGACATGCTCTGAGCACCCACTGATGCCAGTGGGAAGACTCCTGTTGACTTCAATGGGCTCTGGATCAACCCCTTAATGCTCTTTTGGTGCCCAGCAGCTTCCTGAAATTTTTGGAGAGTCAAGTTCCTCCCACCATGGAGAGACCAGGATGAGGTCTGCATGCCCCTTGGATCCCATCCTGTGGTGCAGAAGTGGGTGCCAGCTCTTTGGCGTGGCGGCTAATGGCACCCTGAAATCATTTACTCAGGGAACTAACCCAAAGCACACTGTGGGCTATTACCCTGACTTCATAGGTAGAGGTGAGGATGGGCTGCTAGGAAAGCCTACCTGTAGAAACTGTTCTGCTAAAACTATTAATTCTGCCTGCTTTTGTACCGGCGCAGCTGGAGGTAAAACTAAAGTTACAGCAGTTTCTCACTTCGCTGGTATAGGAGCAGACAGAAGTAATGGTTAAACTGGAACAGCTGATGCATGTTCCCAAGCAGCAAATCTTTCCCCTTTTAGACAGCTTAAAGTTACATCTGTCCACAGTCTCAAGTGTTTTCCCAGGGGGACGTTACAGAGCAGCTCGCGGCACAGGAAAGGGGAGGCTGTTTCCCCAGCTAAACATTTCCACTTGCAGCATTTGTCGCTTCCACTGACGCACAATTTAGCGGGATCTCCTCCCGGGAGCGGGAGCTCCCAAACATTTTTGCCTTCCATTTGAAATCCTGCTGCTCACGGGATTGATGTAGAGTCTAATTACCGTCTTCTGGCTGTAAAGTGCAGCTGACAAGATACATAACTCTCTGGGAAAAAGCAGGATAAATGGATAGGTTCACTGGTCAATTAAATTTCCATAGCTAGATAGGAAATTAGGCTGGAGATGGCTTTTGAAGGTGTGGCCCAGCCGAACTTTGCTTCACAGTCGGCGAGCACGTGGCTTGCTGATCCCTCTCCAGTTGCCTGCTGTGCAATGCCGTTGACTTGTCTGGAGTTGCTTATGGTTTAACAGGGATCAAAACCCAACCCTGGCCATGAGCGACTGGGAAGACCCACAAGTAGGGTGGTCTTCATTGATGGAGATTCAGATCCCGACTGTAAACGAGAGGGCTCTTCCTCCCGTGAGCTCAGAGCTGCTCTCGATGCAATACTGGTAATACGGTACCTCTGGGTTCAACTGCACTGGTGTCGGCCCCAGTGGAAACGGTGATCCATTGGCTACTGATGGTTTTTAGCACTGTGCCACCACCTTCGAGAGCAGCCGTGTCTGTTCATGGACTGACATAACCAGTGGGAATTTTCCAATAGGGGCAAAACTGAAGTAAGAAAATCTTCCCCGCTGCAGGTGGTGCCCCCAGATTTCTGGAGACGGTCAGTGGAGGAAACAGCATCTCCTGCAGTCCTGGGGCTGGGCTCAGAGGCCAGCTCTGGCAGAGAGAGTCTCATATCCCATTTTTCACGTGTAATATTTATTCCCTCTGATGTTTTTATGCTGTGCTGAATGCTGTTATTAATGGCTGATTAATATAATCTTTAGCCTTTGATTTAAAAATCCAATAAACCATTTCCCTTCCTTCAGTATCCTCTGCATAACGACTTTGTGCTGGAAAGTCAATGCACGTGGGTAAAGTATGAAGATGTCAATAAAAATGGAAGTTAAAGGAAGCCCATCAAAAATGCACATCCATATGCATGCTGGTTTTGACGGGCAGGACTCGGTTCCTGCCAGATTGTTTTGGCCTTTGAAATGGGCACAAGAATGGAGACATTTCCTTTTCAAGCCTCCGGGTGCCTTGAAGGACTGGGATGTTGCGCAGTCTGGTGATCTGGGATGATGTTTTAAACAAGCTGCTCAAAGCCGGCTCCACCATTTCCATTTTGTTTTTTCTCATGACCGAGTCCGGAGGCTCTCGTGTGTCTCTCAGTAGTGGCACAAGTTGAGACCTCCAGCTGTCAGCATCTGTTTAGATACCACGCGGTGACACTGGATGAAGACTAGCCCAGCTCAGCAAGCGGGATGGCAGCCTTCCTTGTGCTGCTGGTTCCTGGGACGTGCTGGAGTTAGCAGTGATCACACCGATGAGGATATGGAAGCAAAGTGTACTTAGCCCATCCTGCAAACCCTGGCTTGCTTTTGCTTGCATTCAGGTTCATATGTTCAGAAAGGCTCAACACCCCCAACCTCAGCTGCAGTTGCAAACACACTGCGCACATTGGACTTGGAGCTGTTATGACAGTCGGGTCCCATTCACGGGTACGGACCTCCTGACCGGCGCCTCTCCATCCTTCTGTCATAGGAGCAACCCCAGTAATGACATTGAAGACCAAACTGGCAGCATCCTCCACCACATTGGGCAGCAATCGGTTAAATTTTCCAGCAAGGGGCAAAATAACCCTTGTCCTTTTCTCAGAGACCCCCTTAAAAGAGAGCCAGTTTTTCTCCAGGGAGATGCAACTGGGGAACCCATAAGTGAGCTCCTTAAGATGTTTGAGACATGCCTATTGCCTAACAGTGAGTGACTTAAAGAGGTTGGTTAGTCTGGTTTATCAAAAAACATTGAGAAGTGACTTTGATTACAGCGGATAAGTACCATCAGAGAGAGAAAACATTGGTTCCTAAAGGACTCTTTAATCTAGTGGAGAAGCGCACGACAGGAACGAATGACTGACTGTTCAAACCAGACAAATTCAAATTAAAAATCTGGCATGCATTTTTTAATAGGGAGGACTATGAACTGTTGGAACAAGCTGCATGGAAGTCTTTACTGCAAAATTCGAGGCCTTTCAGGCGATGTGCTTTCATGCGGCATAATTCACTGGGTATAATGCAGGAATAACCTGCTGAAATTCAAGGATCTGTGCTATGCAGGGTTCAGACTAAAAATCATTCAAAAAAAAAAAAAAAAGTACAGGAAAGGACCTGAAAATGTAATTTATCCCATCTTCCTGCCAGGATACCTAAAACCAGCTAGGTGATCTAATGGTCTCTTCTGGCCTGAACATCTCTAAATCTATCCACTTTTTAAAAAAAAAGATAAAAGTTTAACTTTATTGAAACCCAGTAGGGCAGTGACTGACTGCAGTGTAGCTACATCAGCCAAAGACTTGATCTTCAGTATTTTCTTTTAGCTTCTGATACTTCTCTTAGCGGAAGCGTAAAGCTGCTCGTTCTCACCGTAACCACTTGCACTCGTGTCAGAAGGTGGGGAGATTAATGGACGCTTTAAAAATGACGGTTTGTGATACCAAGTGTATGATGTTAATTGGTTTTGCTTGTGTTTCTGCATGCTTCAGATTAGATATATGCAGGTAAGTAAGAGACAATGTCCAAGAGTTTGGTTTCTGGCTGGCTGGCGCAGTGTCTCAAACTCTGGTATGGGTTGTGCTAGGTATACAAAGCACAGTGTGAAGCAGAAGCAGTAATGCTCAAATGCTGTGCGCATAAATAAATGATAGCAAATTCCCTTTCCCCTGCCTTTAAAATTACACATCTGCAAACCCCATGACATGTGCAAAGATAAGTTTGGAGTTCATATTATCTACCTTGCTCACAAGCCAGCGAGAGTCGCGTTTGCCTCTCTCCTGCACAGCCAGGAGGGCTGGAATCTTATTTTGCTGTAAAAGGGAATTGTGGGCATCCAAAACGGTGGGTGTAGCAATACCGCCTCCAGGGCCACCTTGGGGGTTTATGCCAGGAAACATCCCCTGCCTGTTTCCTCGTGCTCTGCACAGTGAAAAATATTGTGTTCACTGTTAGAGCTGTTCCAGGCATGCTCAGCATCACTCTTAGCTCCTGAGACAGAGATCCTGAATGCATCCCTGAGCATGCAGCAATTAGTAGCAAGCACCATTTTTGGCCAGCATGGCGCGGGATTGAGTGGGTGTAGTTTCTGGGCAGTTGGTTCCAGGTTTGCCAGGGAGGACGACACAGGGAGTACGTGAACGGTGCTTGTCCTCCTGGCAAATGTTTTGAGATCAGTACGGAGGGGGCTTTGACATAGCCTGGGAGGCTCGAGGGATCACGTGACTCCCAGAGCTGGGTCTTTAAAGGAAAAAAAGTGACTGCAAACCTGAGGATAAAAGCACCAGAATTGGAAACACTAGCAAAGGACCTATACAAGAGGAGTGTTCTGGGGCCCCATGTCTGCCCTATCGTGGAGGTCATCCTAAGCAAGCAAGTTGAAAAAACCAAGACCCTTTGCCTTATACATGGTCACCTTAGGGGACGTAGCTGGAGTAAATGCAGTGGGTGGAATTCTGGTCTCCTCAAAGCCAATGAGAGATTTGCTATTATTTTAGGTGGACCTGGGATTTCACCCGAGGAGTTTTTAGGCAGCAATGAATCCCTTGGACATGATGGAAAATTTGGTTCTGCACGTCCTGAGCGTGCATCGATTGGGAGTTTGCTCTCGCTGCCTGCCACGTTAAAGATCCAGCATCAATGAGCAGGTAGAAGCACTCTGAGGACATTCAAACGTGGGTTGTTTTCTTTTTGCAGAAAATGGGAATGACAGAAGATGACAAAAGAAATTGCTGTTTGCTAGAAATCCAGGAAACTGAGGCCAAATACTACAAAACACTTGAAGACATAGAAAAGGTGAGAGCTGAGCCTTCTTCTATCGCCCTGTTTTACGTCAGAGGCTTCAGGCTGAATTTGATCTTGCATTAATCTTGCAAGACTAGTTTCTGCTGCTTAGAGCTCCATAGTGCTTGGTGGTTATGACGGGGATAGGATTGATGCACTCAGACATAATTTACAGGAGCGCGGAAGATGTAGAAAACCCATGCTGAGTACCATAAGTGCACAGTGTGGACCCACATGAAAAGATAGCATGTTTTTATGTGATCGCTGCACTAAATACACTAAAAGCCAGCCTGCTACTTGAGAAGGGTATTCTCCCCCACAGCAGTAAGAGACTCCCACTTCTTGCATAGCCAAGGCTGGGTTCTTAGGATAAATCTAGCTTTTGTTGATCTCTTATCACTCTTTGATTGCTATTGAATCATTTGAAAGAATTTCTTTATTGCAGGCACTGCTTGAAAGTGCTGAAGCCGTGCTGGCTTGTCATTGAAACTAATTGGATTAAAAATAACATTTCGCTGCATGCATTCATGGACTTTAATTGGTTTTGATGAATTATAGTTGTATCTCCTCTTTAACAAATGAACATTTCAACCATCAAACGATGCAATGCATGCTGCTAGAAACGGGTTATTATTTTTCCCTTCAGTGATTACAGTAAAGGAGAAGTTAAATATATATATATCAAGGTATTGTTTCTAATTGTCTTTCTGCTTTTATTTCCTTTCCCTTTAAAATTGTTTCCCTTTCTTATGTAAAAATGTGCTAAAAGTTCTTGGAAGAAGCTCCAAGTGTGGCCAGCACAATAAAACAATATTCCACGCTTTTAAAAGAAAGGCTTTGACATAGATATTACTCATGTACATATTACTCGGTCTTTGAAAACAGCCATTAGCCTTGTATTTCAAGCCAGAGGAAGTTAAATAATTGCCTTTGGTATGAAATATGAGATCTTGCTCAAGGCTGAATAGATTGTGATGGCCTGTTGTGGTGCAGAAGCTCATGTAGGAAGGTGTATTGCATCTCTGTGGTTTGCCGTTATGAACGGGGTAGACACGTCTGTTAAAATGCATTAGTTTGAAAAAGCATTTCCAGTGTAGTTATGTTATATGTGTTCCTCAAGGACAAAAATCCAAGCCAGCTCAGAGTTGCTCTCGCTAAGACAGCCGAAGAGCTAAGGCAGATTAAATTGTGAATCGCTGGGGGTTGTAATTTGGTGAAGAAGCCAGCAGATCATAAAAAAAAATAAAATCCTACCACTTACATTACAATGCTGGACATACCGTCTTGTGAATAAGATCCTGAATCGCCTCTCTTTCCTTTCTGAATGGAAAGGATATTTAAGTAGGGTAGCGCACAGATACCAAGATTAGGCAGGATGGAAACCAAACAAGCTATCGCTCTGATGAACTACAGCATCAGGAGTTTGCTTTGCATGTGTATTCACTGTTGTAATGTCCAGGTGTGTGCAGGGAGGGCTTAGAAAGGATTGCACACGTGCACCTGAATCCTTGTGTTTTGGTGAAGAAAGGTCCATGAACACACCTTAGTTATGTCCAATTTCTTGTGCAGGTGACTTAGGGGCTTGGGAGGCAAGACTTATGAGGGCAGACTGAAAAAAGGAGGGTTATTTGGTTTGGAGAAGAGAAGGCTGAGGGGACATTTGATACGAGTCTTCAAGATACCCGAGGGGTGATTACAGAGAGGATGGAGATGAGCTTTTTCTGTAGGGGATAGGACTAGGAGCAACGTAGTTGCAGCAGGGGAGGTGTAGGTTGGAGATGAGGCACTCTCTGCTCTGAGGGTGGTCAAGCATTGGAAGAAGCTGCCTGGGGAAACTAGACTCTCCATCTTTGAAAATATCCAAGAGCAGGTGAGAAGACACTTGGCCGGGATGGCTTGGACAGGAATAATCTTGCCTTGAGCAGGGGACTGGACTAGATCTCATGAGGGTCCTTCCAGCCTTGCTTCCCTACGCTCCTGTGTATATAGAGCTGTGCCTTCTTAGTGGGGACGAATCTCTTTAAGGTATTCCAAGATCCCCCCTAGCCCCGCGATCCTTTCATTGCCTCTTCCATAGTGCTCCTTCTCCTCTTGCCCTTTTAGGAGCCAGGATGTAATCCACAGGATGCCAGTGCGGTTGACTTGCATTCATTGCATTATAATTTAAAGAGTCCCTCAGTCAGGTGGCATTAAACTCCTCCGCCTTCCAGTGCTGACAACCTGGTAGCAAGCCCAGTGCTTGCGTACGAAAAACCCTGTTGCAAATCTTGACAGCCTGACTACCAGGCAATGAGTGTTTAGTGTTTCAGTTCCAGACAGGGCAGTCTTGAGCCAGTGAGAGTTTGGGGTGGGGGTTTGGAAAATTGTTCATATTCCAGGTCAAATGAGCCAAATCAGTTCCAAATCCTCTTGATTGAGCAAAACTCTTCAATTGTTCAAACACCCTACGTGGCGCTCCAACCGGCAAGTATCCTCCACCCCAGACTTTGCAGTGAGAGACGCTGCAGCTGGCAAGCGTTGCAAAGCAGGGAATGCTTTGCCTGTCGGTGCTGCCGTGACCGGGTTTTAACAAGCATCTTGTCACTCTTCTCCCTTTACAAGCTCTAAAATTCATCAAGACCCTCCCTGTGCAAATGTGTAACGGATGAGACAAGTCCGGTCTAATCAGAAGGAAATGCATTGCTTCTGCCTGTATTGAAACCGGTTTCTCATTTCCCTCCTGCAGAATTACATGAATCCACTGAAGCTGGTACTCACTCCGCAAGACATGGAAGCTATTTTTATCAATTTGGAGGTAACAGAGTAAACATCGTGGCTTAAATCATCGCTCTGCTCAAGCACAGCTTACATGGAGAAGCTGTTCAGGTTTCATGTAAAATTCATGGCTGCAGTCCTCCTGGGCTATAGAGCTTGAATGAGTTTCAGATTAGGTCCCTTAGCCTTTATCTCAGAAGCGGGGCTTAGATAGTACGTACGGAGTAGATAAGGGAACAGTTTGATATCAAGGAAATCACTTGGCTAGCGATAGGTAGTGTTTCCTCCCCCTGTGTGGCCCAGAGGGTCTGATTTACAGTGGACATAAAACAGGAAGTGTGGGCCACAGGGACTCAGGCTTGGGTTTTATCCCCAGCTCTGGCACTGACTTGCTTGGTGGCCTTGGACAAGTCACTTCACTTCTCTGTTGCTCCGTCCCATCTGTAACTTGGGGTGTCACGAGAGCTGCCTTCCTTCGAAGGTGCATTGAGACCTGTGGTGAAAGGTGCTCTCTAGAAACTGTGTATTGCTCTTCTGCATGTGAACACACGCACAGTCCAGGTCAATATTCAGTGCAAGTCTGCAGTTAATTCATTCTCCAGCATTTCTCAGCCCCTCTCAGTGTTATCCCACTGCAGGATCAAATACACAATGGTGCTGTTTGGTGGGGTGGGGTGGGGTCTTTGTGTAAACTCAGATAATTTAGATAATTAACATATCTGAGGATGAAAAGGTGTTAGTTTTTTAAAGCAGAGGCATGCAACTACTCTGAGGCATCTGACCCTTCTTTTTGTATTGAAAAAAATCCCTCTTCCAGCCAGGTTAACAGATGGCTAAATTCTCTTAAGGGCTTAACAAGTGGAGATTCAGCCCCAGGCAGAAGGTTAGCACAAGGCCTGGGAAATAATTAAGTCCCACTTAAGCAAGGTTAATTCATGTGCTGGTCCTCTACCCTGGGGGAATTCATCCTTCATGCAGAACCTCTGATGAAGTCCATGGGAATCGCAGGTGCAGCTTGCTTTTCACATCCAGCCTCCTGTCCAGTTCTGGTTGTTTGGGTCTTGGACAGAAAAGCATCTCCTTCCCTTCTCCTGACCAATGCCCTTGCCCCCACCTCTGCAAATGGCCAGACCCACCTCCTGCACCAGGTGTCCTCCATGATCTCATCTGAGTGCTGTTTGGGATCATGTTAGGATTTTCTTCCCCCCAACTCCCTGTGCTAATGTTGTCCAAGATGGCTGGTTGACCGAGTGACCAGCAGAAGTAGAGCGGTTTTTAAGACCTGGGTAGACAAAGCCCTTGGCTGGGATGATGTAGTTGGGGCTGGTCCTGCTTTGAGCAGGGGGTTGGACTAGATGTGACCTCCTGAGGGCCGACCCTCATTTTGTATGATTCTGTGACATGTGCCTAGAGCCAGGCTTGTTGATTTTTAAATGCATCTATCATTTCTTTTTTTTAGGACCTCATTAAAGTGCACTTCAATTTCCTGAGAGCCATCGATGTGTCTATGATGTCTGGAGGAAGCAGCTTGGCAAAAGTGTTTCTGGAATTTAAAGAAAGGTAAAAAGAAGGAAAGAAGACCCCGGTGTGCACCCGGCTCTAATCTCAACAAGTTGTCACTAAAAAGGGCGTATCATCGTAGGGAGAAACCATGAAAGGAGAACGCCAGTCTTGACAAGCCACTGGCCTGGCCCATCCTCTGCCACAACACTGTCCATTAGGATTTGTGTCCATACATGGGGGCAGGGGGGACATGTCTCTTAAATGCTGCAAGGAGAGGAAGGATCCTGCTAGTATAAAAAGGGAACACAAGATGCAAGCAACCCTGTAACTAAATGAGCCTTTTTGCCCAGGTCCTTAGCTGGAATAAATCAGCCAACTCCATTGATGTAAAAAGAAGCTGCATGTATTTCTGCAAGTGGAGGGCCTCACCTGGTATACTGAAAGGTTGCATGTGCATGAATAGAGCTGTGCAAGGTCCCCAATCCATGGTGGTACCCTCAGGACGCTCCAGAATAAGTCTTCTGTTATAACACTAGATGTTCTGGGGTCCCGATATCCTGCTCATTGTAGGCAGCGCAAGAAGACCCTGCTCTTTCCATGTGCAAGTCCTGATTTAGTGCCAGTGCAGTACTGGGGCACTTGGGTCTCAGCGTGTTGTCTGCTTTTCTCTGTGGCCTTCCAAAGCACCTGTGCTACACGTTGATAGTTCAGTGGTTGCCTGAACTGAATTGCATCAATAGTTATGAGTTAAATCTCATCCTGTCTTCTGGTCTCAAACCACAGCTCGTGCTAGTTGCAAAGAGGGTGATGGCTTCAGGAAATGATAGTCTCAAGGGCGGTAACTTGTAGGTAGTCAGTTGTCCCGCAGTCTCCTTCCCAGGCATGGTGTTGTTACCTGGTTCCCAGGTGTATTGCATGGATGAAGCTTTCTCCTGGTTGCTAGTTCCCTCCATGTCTTTCCTATAACTGAGAGATAGATAGAGAGGGGCTTACATTGATCTCTGCAGTCAGAGGCAGAGTGGGCCAACCTTTTCCCATATGCCATTGTGCTGTGGCCTGGTTTTGTCTGTTGTGGAGGCTGTCCACCTGGCAGTCAGATTCACAGGAGAATAAAGATGTGAGGATTTACTTTAGGATACCAGCAGTCAATGAGAAGAGAGAGCATGGAGCATCTCACGTATGTCTCTGTAGGCACAGGGCACTTTGCTCTTGTTAGATCCAAGTGATTGTTCTCGATGCAGATTAATGTGTCTGGCAAGTTTGACGTCTGGCACCTATAGGATGATTAATGCACTTAGAGCCTACTTTAAAAAACAGGAGATTCTGAATTTTGGGAGCTGCAACCAAGAGTTTCCAGGAACAAGCAGATAAGTTTAAATGAAACCCCTGAAGCCCTTTAATAATAATCAAAGGCACTGTGGAATAATGCCAAGGTGTTATTTCATTGTGATTAAACCCAGTGTCTAGACATGAAAATGCCATTCTCAAGTCAATAACTCTTGAAATACCATCTGCATTCATAAGAAACCATTAGGTCAAACATTCAGTTGTTCACAATGCTGCTTTTAAAAAGTATGTGCCCTTTGGATTTAAAAAAAAAATTAGTTGTTCAAAAGAAAAATGCCAAATCATTAAAAAACCTCGTAAGAGTGACTTTTATCTTTCTGATCTCATCATTTGTGGCTTTGCTCACCCTCAAACAATTCAGTACCATCCTGTTGGCAGCAGCCCCCTCCAGGCACTGTAGCCCAGGCCTGGGTTTAGGAGAGGTCCTGTATGGCGACGGTAGACAGCACAGGTGTGATGGTCATCAGTCTGGGACTTGGGGAACCACCTCAGTGTAAAATCCCCTTCATATTTTTTACCAGCCTTGCCTTCTCTTTTCTGTGAACGTCACAAGGTGGGCCTGATTTTTTTTTTTGGCTGATAAAAGAAAGTCTCGAAACACAACTCCAAAAGTTGGCTCAACTTCTTGGAGAAACGGCTGGCTTGCATTCAAATAAGCAGCATGTTGCATGGTTCTTTTTTGGGAACTTGTCAGTCATGGTGCAGCAGAAGCCCTAGGCATGGTTGTACCATGTCTGCTAATCCCCGCAGGCACTTTGACGTGACTTATCTCTTTGCGGCGTTCAGGGACGGGGTGCCGACAGGCGCTGGTCACTTGGTCTTTGGAACCTCCTCCTCCAAACGGCCGGGCTGTGCTCTTCGTGCGGGTCAGCACCTGTGTTTTATTCATGCCATCACCTTAATGGCCGTGATGCCTGGGAGCAACGAGGCACCTTTTACTTAAGTCTGCTGCTCTCGGTTTATCTGACAAGAGACCGGTCTGCGGCTGCCACATCTGTATCGGGTGGTATTTCCGCAGAGGCAGGTAAAGTCACTGACCCAGTTTCAAAAGGAGCTTGCAGATAACTTTTTTTTGGTTTCGAGCACTTGGAAAACTTCCAGACGTGCAAGTGAATTAATCAGAGCTCCAGCTGTGAGCAGCGAGCGCTTGACTGGCAGCTCCAAATCCTCGCACAGCCTACGGAGACCACGAATACCGAAACGTTCCTTGAAACAAATATTTCTGCTCGCTCGGGTGGAGCAGCAATTTTGCAGGGGCGTTTTTTTTTTGGTATTAAATTGCCGATAAGGCTGTCCTTTCCTTTTCCCATCTGGCCTAATCTGCGCAGAGCCAGTGTCTGACCTAGCAGCTCTTGCCAAGCGGCTGAACTGAGGAGACTAGAATTACCTCGGAAAGGACCGGGGCAAAACGACATCGTTGGCAACACCTACACCGGTGTCGTTATCGTCTCCCCACATCTTATCCTGGGGTAGCTGTTTGTTCAACATAGTAGTATGATACTATAATCGTGCCTGCTGTGGACTGGCTTATCTGTCCGTTCCTGGCCCTAGAGGAGTTTACCTCGGCGTACAGACTGGTATGTGTTACACAGGTGTCTACACATTCGTTGATGTGCTTTTGCTAATGCACGTTAAACTTAATACCTCCATTGGGAGGTACTAGGAAAAGGCACATTAGTCTATTTTAATGCACATTAGCGAAAGCTCACGGGTTTTTTGTGATGCTTTAATGCACATTAGTGAAAGCTCACGGGTTTTTTGTGATGCTCTAATGCACATTAGAATAGGCTAATGCACATTAAAGTGCATGTGTAGACACGCCCAGTGTGTCTTCTCTCTGGGTCATAGCTAGGATTTAAAAACCTAACTACTATGTGGGATGTGACCCAGAGCTATGGATGTCATCCCATTGTTTTACCACAAGCATGACAGAGCTGCAGGATCTTCATTGGCTTCCTCTTGACTCTAGACGAGCTGATAGTGTTGGTACTGGCTTAGTTATAAATATTCTGGGTTTTTTCTCCATGTCTTATCTAGAGGGGTCACTCTAATTAGTCCTTACTGCCACTGCCTTGGTATAAAAGCAAGGGGCTGCTGAAAGAATTTTTGCCACGACTTCCCCGTTGCATTGAAAGCTTCTCCCTCGTTCTTCCCTAGAGCATGCAATTTGTGGCTTGCTAATGAATATGAGCTGTGTGTAGGAGACAGGCGTGTTATGGTGTTGATGGGTTGCATTACCCTTCTGCATTTTGGTGCTTTTAAATGTATATGAGGGATATGCAGCTGTTCAGAAGGAGCAGCTGTGGTGTGGAGTTAGGACATTGTGCTCAGGGAATTAGGAGACTGTTGTTTTATTCTTGGCCCTGACACTGATTCGCTGGGAAGATTTGGGCAAGTTACTTTCTCTTTCTTGTCTTGCTTGTCCAGCTAGATAATACATTCTTCAGGAGAGGGTATGTAGTTCACTGTGGGTATGTGCAGCACCTGGCACAGTGGGGCCCTGATTGTGGTTTGGAGGACTTTAAATGCTCTTGCAATAGAAATAAGAAGTCTAAATAGTGAATTAATTTTGCTCGTCAGTGGCTCAGTTCCCAGAACTGGCTTTGAGCAAGTTTCTCCGCTCAGGTGATCCAAGTGGGTGGGTTAAAGAGAAGGGGAGACAGGAACTGCTCCTTTCTAGCATCTCAGTGATGCAGAATCTGGAAGATTAAATGCTTGTATTTAATCCTCTCTTGTCAGAACTGCTCTTTTCCCACCACAGAGACTGGGATCCCTAAATCTGCAAGATGTAAAAAAAACCCTCCTCTTTGTGCAGGGTTATTCCAACACAAAGAAATCAACCTGCACATTTTCAAAAGGTAATGAACATATTCAAGGCTGCCTCTGTCGCAGGCCACACAAACTTCCACGCAGGGACATGCCGATTGCTGGCTTGTTGGGGTTTTTTGGGGGGGATATTTTGTCTCGGGCATTAAGTGACATTAAAACAGCGTCAAGCAGATCATATAGTCATTATGCCCGCGGGCCTGGTGCCTTTTCCTCTGAAGGAGGGCAGAGTTTGTTGCAGAGACAGTCATTTCTTTTTGATGTGGGTAGGTGGTTGCCCCAGCTCAGGTTTTGGGGTGCTATTTTGGGGGGTTGGGGTGCCATGCTTTTTATTCACACCAATGGGCACAGAGTTTGACTCAGACTGACAGTGTGCCAAGCGCTGCTAAGAAGGGGAAGAAGAGGAAGGTACAAGTTCAAACGAAGCTTGAGCACCTCTTGTGCTCCCTGAAGATGAGCGGTTTCTCAGCACCTTGGAAAGTGCAAAACTGGAGCTGCAAATGTGCTGATGGGGCCACTGGCAAGCCCTGGTGATTTCTGATGTGGTAGGAGAAGAGAGCTCTCCTCCGTTTTTGTTCAGTTGTCCTGCAAAAGAATCCCAGTTTTCCGCACCCTAGCTCCCAAATGACTTTGCTTTGGAGGATTTCTTTCAATGCACAAGGAGGATGCAGTCTTCACACCCCTTTTTGAACATGTCACCCTTGCCAGAACTGCAGTCCCACGACAGAGGTGGCTGTTTCCAGAGGGTCACCTGGCTCTGCCCCAGCCAACGCAATCTTAAGTCTAACCAAAGAGCGGAGACTTGTGTAATGAGGGCAGTCCTGGGTGGACATGTCATGCTAGGAAAGATGGACAAGGTCACATCCTTCATGAAGTTGCTAGAC